TTAAGTACCACATAATTTCTTACACACAGGGTTGCCTTTCAGCAGTAATGAAAGAAACTTAAGAAATATTTAAAAAAAATGCATATATGCCTTAATTTTTGAATGAAATACCATATAATGTATGTACTCTAACTAATAATATTAAAAAATGTATTAGAACCACCGTTTAATGTTATATTTGATAAAAATTAATTTTGCTACTCGGAACTCTCTGCGCATTGCCACTGAATACTTAAAATTACATCCCTGGTCCTTGTTCTTTCTGTATTGCATCGTGGTGAATTCACATTTCTCAGAAATTTGACAACAAAACAGAGTATTTTATTTTCCAATTTCTGCGATTTCTATTGTTTAATGTAAGTTTTACGTCTTTTTAGGATATGTTGAGAAGGCGCAGTTGGAAAATGAAGTTATTAGTATGAAGTAGCATCTCAGGCACATTTGGAAAATTATCACCCCTATTCTGCAACTCTTTCGTATTCGGATTTTGCTACGAATCGTATTTTCGAACTTTCGAAATTCGTAACAATGGCATGCCTAAAAACGAACGAGTACGCTTTTTTGCGTAAATTTGTACGAAAACAATTCTGTGTCGTAGGCGAGATAAAAGACGAAAATCGATGTATGTTTTCAGGAAATATTAGTGGTGTTCATTTAAACAGATAAATTTGTCCTTTGCATATAAGTACATTTTTATCCATTGCTTTATACAAACGGGTAAAAAAGAATCTTTGTTGCCCCATATCGAGAAACTTGGGGCCGGTTTAGTTATTTGTACAATGATTTTCGGTTGTTGTGTCCAAACGCATAATCCGAATCGAAAAACTTTAACATCACATGTAATCAAAGTATTAAAATATTATTTTAAATAAATGCTTCAAATTTCCGATCATATTAATAAATTCGGTTTGCACTATGGACTTTTTTGTGAATTTCGACGTGGGTTCTGCGCAAAAATACTGCGGATGGCGTAGCAGGAGTGATGTGCACAAGAAGTGTTGTGTACCTTTGACATGCGGAAGCCCTTCTTCTCCGGCAACACAGAAAGGAGAGTTCTACTTAGTAAGGGTTATAATCCCTAAGTGCGGCGGAAGGCAGAAGCAAGTGCAACAGGTGGTGGACCTAATACTAGGTTCACATATAAGTAGATTATCCTCATTTTCGAGCTTAACACCCTAATCTTTAATTATAACAAGAGATTAGCCATATAAAATTCGTCCCTTGTTAATCTGTAATTATAAAATAATCTCAGATTTAACCGATAACTTTTCGGTGTCCATCCTAGTTTTATCGATTGTTTTTGCGAAAGAGAGGAGAAATGCCAAATGTAAAAGTAAACAAAAATGTACGCTAGCAAGTAAAAGAGGTTTGTAAAGGTATTTTTAATAAAATGTTAAGTTAAAATATATTTATATTGCTTATTATAGCAGAAAAACGTGATCACGGTGGCACAGAGAAGAAACATAACTTTTAGTTGAGATGTGAGAATAACAAGTACACCAAATTTGACGGCTAATAATCTGAGATTTGCCTGTGTAAACGGGTGATTAAAAAACGAGCTTTGATTAAGATAATATTGATATGTGAACATAGTTTAACAAAGTGCATGTATTCAATGGTATGGAAGAAGCTGTTATTGCATTAACTGGATTGAGAACCAGTTCTTCAAGCATAGGAGTAGTTCTGGCTTGTGGTTCAACAATTCAACCAGAAGCTGACATAGATGCGCCCATGGTTACTATGCCCGATAGCTCCGCGTATCTTTGCGAAATCATTCCCATAGCGCGCTCTCACTACGCTGCTATAATTGCAAATGCAATAGAATCCACCGTTTTCTTCAAAATATGTAAAATCAAACAATTTTACTATAATCAAGCACTTCATGAGTGTTTTTTTCATTCCTTTCCACTTTGTTTTCCTTCATTCAGCTGTCTTCGAAAAACAACCGATAGCTGGCAACGCTGCACATGTTTCCGCAAGGGTTGCAGCATGTGGATTTTTCGTTTTTTCGTAACGTAGCTACGAATTACGAATTACGAAAATTCGGGTTCTAGAATAAGGGGGTATGCCTATAAGCAAGATGGAATTTGGGAAATTAAGTGCCTGGTTGCAGCATATCTATGTATTAAAAAAATAATAAATTAAATTAAATTGTGTTTAATAGAAATGTTATAAATCGAGTGGCGTTATTTAATATGTGCTCCAAATATTTGGCGAACTTTTTTTCGCCTTCTCGACGTGGTAAGTGACAAGATAAGATGACTGCCACCACGGCCGGAAACAAGCCCAAAGCAAAGGGAAAACTACCTTCCAGGAAGCTGCCTGCTGTCCCCGAGTCGAAGATGAAGTTAAGCAAGAAGCAGGTCAGCAAACGTGCTACCCTGATCAAGCGTAAACTAAAGCGCTGTGCTGTGATTGCACTCCGCAAGCGTGAAAACTTGGAGCATGCTGAGAAATATCAAGCAAAATATCTCCTGATGGACGCCGTGAGATGAAGTTGCGCCGTTTGGCAAAGAAACGCGGCCCATTCTACGTGCCCGCAGAATGGCTTTTATGATCTTTATCTGCGGTATCAACAAAGTTGCACCAAAAGTGCGTTAAGTTTTACTGTGGTTCCATCTTCGCCACATTAACAACGGTTTGTTCATCATATTGAACAAGGCAACCATTAATATGCTACGGATTGCCGAACCCTATATTACATGGGGTATCCAAATCTAATATCAGTTCGTGAATTGATTTACAAACGTGGAATTGTCAAGCACAGCCATCAACGTGTCCCAAACTCTAACAATTTTGTGATCGAACGCAAATTGCACAAAGCGCACGATATTCAGTGCGTTGATTATTTGGCGCACGAAATATTCACTGTTGGATCCCACTTCAAGAAAGCCTCGAACTTACTGTGGCCACTACGTTGAGGTTGGTGATTTCGGTAACCGTGAAGATAATATCAACAGACTGCTGCTCAAGATGGTTTAAAGAAATTTTCTGGTGTACACGGTGGAGTATTTTTATTTCAAAAATATATAATAATAAAAATAGAAAATAATTTTTTTTTTTTTTTTTTTTTTAACTTTCTGAAGGTTTAATCCGCAAAAATGCTAAATGGAAGGCAGCTTATATTCACGATTCCTTGAATATTGTCGAAATTCCATTGCCGTTCGTAAAGGCCATTTTAAAAGGCTCCACTCCACAAATTTAATTTGTTTTGGTTTTTCAGCTCATTAACGAAGCCCCAGGATTGCATTTACCGTCTATGAAAATATTTCATGAAGCGTTCCAAAATTAGCTCCGAGCAACTAAAAGTTGGTTAAGCTTAAGTGAAATAGTTTTTCATTAAATATTTATTCCTGGTATTTATTAAAAAAAAAATCAGGTCAATTATTAAATAAAGACATAACGGCGTCGGACGTTGGTCCTGACGTATATAGAATAAATGCAATAGAGAGATAATTATAGTTGCGTTCCAGATGCTTCACGATTTGCAGGTTTTTACAGGAAGTCGTTCCAGGTGACCACCTCCCATAAGGTTTATTAATGGAGAAAACAGCTGTTCCTACAAATCGTGAATTTCGTGAATATCGTGAAGCATCTGGAACGCAACTTATACAAGCTCAACGTCCTAATTTAGGTATACTTGCATATGTATGCATTTACCTGTTACTCGCCTGACATATACTTCTCAGAAACTTGACTACAGATTTTCTCCAAAGTGTCGGAGAATGCTATGTACTAGTTCACGAAATTCTTGAATTATCTTATTTTTTAGTTTACTGTCAACCATTTATGAGTTTAATAAAAAAATTTGTCGTATACGCCAAATGTCATAATTTTTTTATAAATTAACGATACTTTTCACTAATCAGCCTAATCGTGAGTTTCGCCCAAAAAAAAAATCGCCAGAAATGTTTTCACCCACCCGTTAATACACGGAAACGAAAAGTGAAAAGGTGGCCCGGTTCGAGAAAATGAAACTCATGATAAGGCTGAATATGTCGGAAACTAGAGTAGATATTTAAAAACAGATGATGCCATTTGAAAGATCTTGATTAGTTTAGTACGACAGCATTACTAACGTAACTTGTACCAAATGATTTTAGTCAATTACTCGGAAACTAAAGAAGATATCCAAAAAACTGTTAACAAAAAAGCGATATATCTTATTTTAAAATATATAGCTGCATATTTAACTAAAAACTGTCAAAATGACGCTTACGGAAATTTTTCATCCAAGCGACGATATTTGAATGTTACTGGCGTAATTTCGAGCCTGTGTGTAAATTTTCGGGAAAAGGTTAAGAAGTATATTCATATGCTGAAAAGATATTTTCGCAGACTCACGCAGATTTAAAGTAATATTGAATACTTTAATAATTATGAATGTATTTTCCTGTATTTTATTATCCTTTCTATACCCTTTCTATTATTAGAATCAAAATGCATACCATCGTAAATTCGTTCGGGCCTAAAGATCCTAGGCCTGATCTTGTTGAAATTCTAAGGGGTGTTTGGTTTTGTTTTAACGGCTAGGTTATTAGCATTCTGTATGAGTCCTACAATTTTATTGAGCTTGGGGCCGTTTTTTATGAAAAATGTTGTGGAAAAGAAACAGTTATTTACAAATGTAAGAAGTAATATCTGCTATTTGGGAGATCACAACATCTACTAATCACAACCGCGGTCACTGAGGAGAAGTGGTGATATCCGAAATAGCAGCTATAACTTCTACCTTTTATAAATTTTGTTAATTTTCAATAACATTGTTCATAAAAAACGGCTGAATATAATTGTTATAAGGCCATAAATAAAAAATTCTGAATGAATGATAAGGTCAGTCAAACAAACCGAAAGAAAGTCGGAGAGTCTCCTTAAAGTCGATGTTTAAAACATCGCTAAAACTTCCATCGATGTATCGTCAATTTCGCGATTTTAGTAAATTGCAAACATCGATGGCAAACATCGAAAATTGAACCGATATTATCGATGTTTCAAAAACATCGATGCATCGTTTGCATCCTAGCTAGTATCGTTTGATCCTTCGTTTGAGCGTCACTTATATTGGGATACTTTTGTGGAATATTTGAGGTTCAAGGCCTAAAAAGTTATAAGTGAGTTGTATGCAGAAATTTTCAAACGACTGTAGTGCAAACCTTTCCAAAGATTTAACACGTACACGTATTATTTAAGAAAGTCATATTTGTATATTACTTTATGGCCTCCGATAATTTTCCCTGCATTCTAGCGTGTGTAGCTAAGAAAGCAAGGCAATTTTTCTCTATTGATCTCAATCTGAAATTATAATGGTTTGCTGGAAATATTATCTTTCTAGAAATCCCAAGAATCAATCATCTCGCATTATGTCCGCAAAACGTAAATCTGGTGGAAACGGAGCAGGACCGAACAAGCGTCATTCCAAGAAGCAAAATGATTTTGAAGAAGTTCTAAGTGATGCTTCGAGTGATGAAGGCCAATCTACCTCTAACCAAGTTGAAGTTTTAATACCTAATGATAATCTAGAACCGCCCAGCAAGCTCCCAGAAGAATTACTGACATCTTTTGATAAAACGCCGGGACAAATGCTCATTGCTGGAATGGTCACATGGGATTTGACCGGGAAACGAGATCGGAAAAATGTAGTGAAAGTTCGACCAAATCTATTTAATTTTCACCGATTTACTGATGAAAAGGTGGGTATTTTGGCCTAAAAGATTTTCTGTTTTAAATATATCATATTTCAGTACCGATATTGCGCAAGTGGCCCTAGCTCTGCGCATACGCTTCTTATTAATATGGGTCGTAAGGCAATTGCTTTTGGGCGCAATCCATCAGGTCAGTTGGGCTTGCCTGATGTGAAGATATGTGAACGGCCTACTATGATACCAGGGTTGGAAAAATTTAATATCGTGGAGGTGGCATGTGGTCGTCATCATTCCCTTTTTTTGACTGATACAGGTACTGTTTACGCTTGTGGAGAAAATAAGTCTGGTCAATGTGGTATTGGTAACACTCAGCCAGTAGTAAACATACCAACACCGATAAACTACCGTGGTCCGCCAATTATTCGTATTGGATGCGGCGCGGAATTTTCAGCGATTCTTGATATCAAAGGTAATCTGCACACATTTGGATTACCTGAATATGGTCAGCTGGGTCATAATACAGATGCAAAGTACTTTGTCAACGCCAACAAATTATCCTTCCACTTTGAAACTTCGCCTAAAAAAGTTCTTCTTTACATAGAAAAAAATAAGGAAGGACATGTAACACCTGTGGACAATGTTCAAATTGTGGATTTTGCGTGTGGTAATAATCATACGGTTAGTATTACAAATATAAATGGGAAATGTTTAGTTATTTGTACAACGTTTTTGGGATGGGGGCGTGGACCCCCAAACCCCCTCTGAACGAAAGGGGAAGAAGCGCGCTTTATGAAAAGTCGCCCCTTATACCCTTACCATATATTAGAACGTATCAGAAAAGTAGCATTTACAGTTGTGTTCATATTAATAGCAGTGCGTTCTCTGAGGTAGGAAAACATGACTTCATCCAAAATAAATTAAATAAAACTTTAAAAGGCTCTCGCTATTTAATGGCATGATTAATGCAAATATAATTAATACAAAAAGTCGTATTATTCTTAGCAATTTCTTCCATCAAAACTAAAAAAATTCACAAGTCAAAAAATTCTGTTCACAAAAATAGCAGTATAAACGAAAGTGATATGGAATTTAACACGACCGCAAAATCTACATCTTTGTGTAAAGTAAAATAAAGATACTGCTAATAATTAGCCGTACAGCCCTTATTCCGAATGACGGCGGCGCATCTACGCTGCATCGAGTCCACTAAACGTCTGCATCTTTCGACTGGGATATTTGCCCATGCAGAGCGTACAACTTCCCACTCGCTTGCTCGTATGTTTCGGATCATTATCCTGTTGGAACACTCATTTCAGCGGCATTCCCTCTTCTGCATATTGCAGCATAACTTCTAGGATTTCAACGTATTTGTGCTGATCTATGATACCATTAATTTTATATATTGGTCCTGTACCGTAATAGGAGAAGCAACCCTATACCATTATTTTTGCTCCTCCATGTTTAACGGTCTTGACGGTGTATTGTGGTTGCCAGCATTTTGCGGCCTTCTTACGTACTGACGCCGACATTTTGAACCAAAAAGGACCACTTTACTCGTCCGTCCACAAAACATTTCCCTATTTTGAGAGTGGCCAATTGACGTGAGTATTTGCAAAGCTTAACCTATTCTTCAAGTGCCGCTTGGTTAAAAGTGGTACCTTTCGTGGACTGTGGGCTTTCAAATTTGACTCCAACAAACGTCTTCGCACTGTCACTGCACTCACATTAAGATTTAGCTTTTCCTTAATCTTTTGTGAACTAATATTTCGCTATCGTCTTACTAAATTACTTATTTTCTGGTCAGTTTTTTCATCTGTCAGTCGTTTTGGACCGCGAGTTTTTGGACCGCGGGACGATTCTTGAATTTTAAGGCATTGGACACCATTTTCGCTGAACAATCTATTACCTTTTGTATTACTTTGTAGGTCTTGTTTTCCTGCCGCAATTTTTTTTATCAAGGCTCTGGTTTCACTGGTACAATGTTTGGAACGTCCCATATTTCTGTAACCTCAAAGGTTTTATTTATCCTTATTGCTCGAATATGTTAAACTTACCAACAATAATTTGCTTTAAGACAGAAATGGTTTTTGCACGCAAATGATTCCGTTCGCTGGTCAGTTAATTGCAGAACTGCTATTATTATGAAACAGCCAAATTCAATTATTAAAGCGAAATGCGTCCGGCACCAAATGCCACGCTAACTTTGATCAAATTGAAATTCGTACGCATTTACTATACCGTTACCTTAAGCCGAAAACAATTTAAAACGGAATTTCTTTTAAGGTTTGAGCTGAGCGTTACGTTGCCGCATACCACAGCTGGCACTGCTATGAATATGAACACAATTGTACATATGCAAATACATATCGTGTAACAGCGCTCTTAGGGATTATAAACCTCACTAAGTAGAATTCTCCTTTCTGTGTTGCCGAAGAAGAGGGGCTGAACACCTTTTGCAGAGAACAATTTCTGCATAGAAGTCCTTCGGACGCTCTTTGGGATTATAGCCCTCACTAAGTAGAATTATCCTTTCTGTGTTGCCGAAGAGAGTGGTTGAACACCTTTTGACAGGGCAGCTCGGAAATTTGCAAAATTACCATATTTCAAAGGGAAATTATTAATAAATTAGTGCACAGCTATAGTAAATTATTATTTTTTAAATAAAGCGTAGACGCTTGTCTACTAGTGTGTAAAAGTTTTTTTGATTCGGGTCACGCATTTGGGCCCAGCAACCCAAAATCGGTGTACAAATAACTAAACCGTTCCCAAAATAACTGTACATATGGGGTGCATTCCAAAACGTCTAAATAAAAAAAGCATCAGTCTTTTAATTCTGAAGCTCACAACCGCAGTGTTGCGCGAGTTATTAAAGTATCTCGTATTGCAAATTTTGATCAGTACTGCAGTATTACCGCTTTTATTACGTGCTTCGAACAGGCCCTTTTTCTCCTTGCGAGGTTTAGAAATAAAATAAACTGATGCTTTGTATTTTGACATGGAATGCACCCATGTATTCAATTCAGTGCAATGGATTTTGCTAACACGTTTGCTGCTACGTGACCCACAGGTGGTGGCCACGTGCACCACGTTTATGTCACACATTATGACTTGTATTAGTCTGCGTTCAGACACGGAAACTCGTGTTGCTTATTATTGGCGATTTCTCTTTGGAGTCGCCCTTTGCATTCACACACAGCAACTCTTTTGTACGCTATTGTTGTCAGCTGCGAACCTTAGACGAATGAGAGCACAAAGCGTGTTGCTCGAGTACGGGCAACTCGTTCCCACGACAGTCGGGTCTACGTAACCGGAACGACCCAGATTTATATCTGGCCAAGGACTGTCACTCCAGCAACACTCCCCAAAAAGTCTTTGGGGAATTTGTATGCTGCTACAACAACAACAACAACAGTACGGGCAACTGGGTACCCGTCCCCTTTCCTCGTCGCTCTCTCCCCTCCAAGCTACGAGTTGCCGCAACAAAAGTTTCCGTGTGTGAACATCGACTTAAGGTTTTTAAAGTGGTTTGTCACGGCCCGTCTCCACAGGCAAACGTTTTTGCCTACCAACTGTAATTTTTATTGCTTTTATCAGCGGCAATATTTGTGCCGGGCATTTTTTATTTTGACAAAAGCATTTGTAAAATGGCTTCCAAAAATTATTTTTGCCGGACTTAAAAAATTTATAAAATTTGCTATTTCACATTTAAATACACAATAACAAATATTTTAAAAGAAAATAGCTCAATTTTAGGTTTTATATTAAAATATCAATAATGTTGCTGCCACGAAGTTTTCGTGCAAATGCAAATGTATGTCAAACTACCAAGTTGCTGGCAATATTTATCAAGATAAAAGTTGATATAATTATTGCTTGACAAGAGCAAAATGCGGTCTCCATTGGCAAAATATTGCCTGATAACATTATCAAGATAAAAACTTTTGCCTGTGGAGACAGCAAGTTAGTGGAAGTACTTTTTTGCAGACTAGTATATAGTAGATATTATCTACTAGATAAGTCATTTTTTGCTATAGAGAAACTATATAGTCACCTGAAATGCAAAAAGACGTAACAAACATCATCGTTGAAGTGCAATATGTCATAACTAATAAAAAATTTAAAATTCACTTTTTGATTTACAGTATTGGCCAATACAATAGCACCCCCATTTTAAAGAGATATTGTTGCCCTCATGGTTATTTATTTATTTTTAGGAATTCTCAATTAAAATACATTTCATTCTCTAAAAAACCCCATATAAACCCAAGTTTAAAACTTTTTAAAAGACTACAAAATAATGCAACAAATTTTCACCCAAACTTCAAACTTTTTTCTCAGAAGTGCTAGAATTTTTCTGAGTACACAGTTTTATAGTCCATTCAATTCTGGTCTAATAATGTGCAAGTTTCATGTAGATACAGTGTGAAATTTAGATTTTCCATCCCTGGTGCATATGGCTTGGGTATCGCCGAAAGTAGTTAAGCAATGCAAACGCAGTAATTGCGTTTGATTTGCTTTGATTAAGCATCAAAACAAAGCAACATTTGAAGCAAACTTTGAGAAGACAGCTGCGGCTGTCGGCTTCCACTTGTGCATCGACCGCAGTCGCCAGCAGATGTTTCATTCAGGGTTTGAATTGCTGACTTCAAAATAGCATAAGCAACATTTTTTTGCTTTTTAAAGCAAGCAGCTCTTGATCATTTGCAATTGCTTAGCTACGACTAACACAAATAAATCAGCAAAAGCAGACAGCAATAGCGAAAAAAAAAATGGAATCATTTGCTTCAGCTTATAGCGCAGTTTCTCTTTGCTTACTTAGTCTACCGAAGCAACCAGTTTAGAAAAATTTGCGTTGCTGCAAGCTGTAAGTTAGGGGTAGTTTTAAGGTTAAGGGGATTTCGGGATATTAAATTGGTAATATCGGGATCCCGGGATATTTCGGGATATTATTACCATTAATTAAAATACTAGTGAACCCGCATGGCGTTAAGACGCCAAAATTGAGTTTAACATTTTGAACAGATGGCAACACTATTCACAAACCTTAATAAATTTTGCAAATGTTTCAAGTAAATTGGTCCATCCTTTTTTGAACGAAGAGAGGTCTGACATGGCGTCGGTTTTTCATTTCCTCAAAATTTAAACTACCGTACATCGCTTAAAAAGGTCGAAACTTCAAAAAATAAAACCTTAATGCACATTTAGAATGATGGTGCTGATTTGATGACCTTCATATTAAAGATCTGATGACCATAACAAAAAAATTATTTATTTATAAAAATTAACTCTAAACTAATTTTTTCGGTATATTATGGGTTTATTCAAAAGAACATATATTCCCATTAGTTATGGAATCCGATTTCATCATGTGACTGTCTTCGCAGTAGCGCATCCTGTTAACCCAGTTCTCCAAGACCTTGTTGATGGTTTCTGGCTCTATCATAAGAAAATGCCGACATACGCCTTAAAGGCCTGAATCGTTAATGGATTGTTCGCATTATATCGGTCCTTCACGGCATGGCACAAAAAAGTCTAATAAGGGCATGAAATCGCGGTTCCGAGGGGGCAAATTGACTTCATCGAGACAGCTGATAACACAATTACCGAACTTTATCGCTCAAAATAAAAATCGAATAGATGGTAACCCTAACAAAAAATATTTTCAAACTAAAGTTTTA